AGTTGAACCAAAATCTTATAAATTGTTCATGAGTGTTTTAAGCAGTTCAAAAAACTCGTAGATCGTGTTTTATCAGGTATAAAAGCACGAGGCGTAGCCTCGTGCTTTTATACCTGATAAAACACTCCTACTCGTTTTTTAAACATTACATAGAACACTGAGGGGGAGAGTGAGTGGTCGATATAATTTTGACAAGCCTTTCTTAAAATACTGGGGATAAAATAAATTGGGGTTCGTACAACTTTTGAAATTAAGTTTCATTTACAATGATAACACGTACGGGAAGTTGGGGGCGTCTAATTCGCGATGTCGTCGAGAGAAAAAAAATGCCGGACAGGTGTTTCACCACCTACGCATGCGACAGATGATTGTTACTAGTTGGTAAAATACGATCTTAGATAATCTTAATTTACTGAAAGAAAAGGAACAAGTAAAGATTATTCGTATATATTCAGCTATAGTGATTTCCCCGAACGAATCGGGTCGTTATTATCAAAATAAATACAAAATCTTCAGTAGCGGCGGTTTTAACATCATTATTATAACGGAGAACTAATGCTGTCGTATGATTGGTGAAATCCATAAACTCTTTGTAATTTTCTTCATTTAGGACTTTTAAAAAGATGACTACGCCGGGTATGTACTAGTCAAATGAAATTAAAAGTTTCTGTTAAGGGCCGTCTTATTCCAGTTGAATTTAAGACGACTAACTTCAATAATTTCTTATCTTTGTTATTATTTTACAAAATGCTTAAAGCTAGCTTTTAATCATCCCAGAAAATGAATTAAAAAACGACGAGACATAAAAACGAAAATGATGGCATATGTTGCAATAATGACTAACCTAAGATAATTTAAACTAAAACGTATTCTAAAATACTAGGCAAACAGACAAAAACAATAATACATATTAAATTTGGGAAGCACCTGTTTTATAAGTTTTWAAAAATTCCCTACATTTTCACATCCGTTTTTTATTCCTTTTCTACAAATAGCACTGAAACATCTTTAATATTGTTTTGAAAATGTAGCTGGCACGAAACGAAAAGATAAATTGAAAAGCATGCGTCACGTTGTGGAAACATTGGATCAGCCATTGTTTCTTTCAGTAGAAAATCGACTTCCTTTCCTTTCCGTTTTTAATCTTCTTTTTTTAGTTATTTAATTTCTTATGCATTTTAACTTGACTTATCACCGTCTATTATTTTCTGTCACTCAGTTTCTTTAATATGTCACACTTTGTCTTACATCAGCTCAATATTTGCTATTGATCATATAATTTGTATGGTTTTTTTTTTTTTCTATCAAAAGCTCAGCAACAAAAATTTTTTAAAAATCCTTCTAAAGCCCGGAAAAAATGTCCATACCAAGCTATATTTGATACACTAAGTCGTAGTTTTTGGTCCTTCTTGAGATATTAACGCCCAAGAATTAACAGTGCACTACAAGAGCAAAAACTGACCGACTTAAGGAATCAGTTTATTCTATCTTGTACTACGGTAGTACGAAATCTGGAGCACTACCAAAAAGAAGGAGTACTACCAAGAAGGAGCAAAAACTACAACTTATATGATACAGTTTGGAAGGACTTTTTTTTTCGGGCTTCAGAATTTTTTTTTCTAAGCCGCATTTCTATAGCTTTTCATTTTCGATTTCATATCCATTATACAATTTTCTTCTTAATAAAAAAGTAAGCTTATTTGTATATTGACTTGATGAGATATATTGTTCAGCTCGTTACTTAAAAATACAAATCCGCCCGGCTTCATCTTGAAACTTTTGTCTTCCCTGACTCTCTCATTCATTCTCTCTAGAATTCTAAGCTTCCTCATGAATTTGCAAATATCATATCAAAACTATCTCGAAAACCAAAACGGGTTTTCCGTCTTCCGATTCTTTTGTCATGGTAAAATTACACTAAAAAAGTAAAACAAAATTAATAATCCATCGCGTAATATAAGGACACACGACTTTGCCATCTGCTGCTACTCGAGAATTCCTGACTTTCATTTTCTCTCATCCAATATGTTTAGGCTTTCTTTCTTTCTTTCCAATTCTGATCATTTTATCTAAACTTCCTTTCCTGTTTCATTCATTATGTCATTTAATCTCATTCGTCCTCTTTATCTGAAACTACACACTTGACTTCAAAAGACATTAGTATTTTTGCATTTATAGTACATTTTATATAGTAAAGAGTTTGAATTATATATGTATTGATTTATTTAAAAATATGTATTATCTACAATAATAAAACACGTTGGTTTATCCTGGGTTTTTTTTCCCCCGATTCTAAAACTGTTGTCCTTATGATTCACCGCCTCTGACTCTCTCTGCAATGGGCCCTTCTCAAAAAATGATCTTGAATGCAAAGCTATCATGGAAAGACCAAAGAAATGCCAGAAACTTCTATCGAGAAAAAGTGTGATTTCTTTTGTTTTCCTTGTAGCCTCTAATTAAAGATAATTTTGGGAAAAGTAACTTTACTATCCAGTATGATGATAATCAGGTAAAACCTGTTTGTTTTGTCTGGTTTTGATTGATTGATGCTACATTTCGCTCAGTGTTCAGTACTTAAAATAAGGTTAAAAAATTATTTATATTCAAACATGATGTTTTCTTTCTCGAAGATGATATTAATATAACAAGAATTTAATTCGAATGAATTAAAGTGCCTATAACACAAAAAAATTTACTAGCTAGAAATACTCTTTAACATCAAGTGTTTTCGAATGAGTAATATAAAAGTAATATAAAATTCGGAAAAAAATTTTTTCCTATCTGTTTTTAACGTTCAAGCATGTCGATCATATCATATCGTTAATGATAGTAAAATATTACTAATCATCCCATAACCCACGTAAGAGTCCGACAAACCTGATTGCAAAATGATCGATATTTCAGAAAAGCCTTCACCAAGTTGTACGTCAACAGGAAACTACCAGACAGACAAAAAACCTTTCAAAACTATTTCTGAATGAAGTATTTACACTTTCAGAAGGGGTTATTTAAGCTTGTAGTTTCTAGTCTATTCCTCGCGAATAGCATCAGCTGCTATATGAACGTAATTTGGAGTCGTACGACCAAATGATGCCGAAGCGATGTCTGCCGAAAAGAACCGAAAACTGACCCGGTGCAACAATCCCGAATTCTTAGTCTAATTCCCTTTTATTAGATACCACTTCTACTAGAATAATAAAATAATTGGTTTCCTTAGTTTTATCCGAGCTCTAAGATGTAAACCGATTTTATAATCATTTTAAAAATACAAAAAGATGTATTTGATCATATTTTATAGTGTTGACTAAGGAATGACAGCAAGATGTCGGTAAATGAGCACAACCATTGGGGATTTTCTGAAGGAAATTGCTTTTTTGACAAATGTAAACTTTGTACGAGTTTTTTCAGGTTGACTGTTTGTTGATACGAGACAACATACGTCATAGATTGAAATAAATCAATTTACAGAAAGCGCCTACAAAAATATGAAATAATACATCAAATTATCCCATTTAGTTTCACTTATCGCCATTGAGAATGATGACAACTACGTACTCTAAGCTCTCGGACTGAGAAAGGGACTAATGACAGTCGTTCCTTTAAATAGTTTTAAAGTAAAATATGGAATGTTGAAAGTTCTATCTGTTCGCTTTTCTTGGAGTTTTCGCGAGTGCTTATTGTCCAATTACAAAAGTCCTCGTGCATTTACCGAAGCCACTTTGTCTTTTTCTCTTTGCATTCTTAATTGGTGTAGTGTTTGTATTTCAATGTCAGTGATTTAACGTACTTTTCACTCTTCGTTTTTCTTTCTCACTTTACCTTTGTACTTTATTTCAAAATGTGAGTTTTTGTTTGTTTGTTTGTTTGTTTGTTTTATTGCTTACAACATTTCTAAACTCACAGGGTCCTTTCCTCATACCATAGGAGAGTAGGATAAAAAATACATTATTATTACTATTATTATTATGATTATTACTCTTATTATTATTATCTTTTTTTTCTTTCGTAGTGTTATATATATATATATATATATCTTCTTTTTCTTTTTGTCATTTGTCTTATTCTGTATTCAATTTAAGTAGCCTATTGTAAATTACCTATACGTAAAAAAAACTCAGTGAAGTTTTCATTATTTTTATTTTATCTTTTTTGATGTTAAACATTTGACAATTTACTGTCGCACGTTTATAATTTTGTTCCGAGTCATTTTTAAATTTATTTATCTATCTCCCTGTAGAGTACTAGAGTACAGCAAACGTCGGAGCCAGAAAAAACAATCTCTAGAGAATCATCCGAATGAATCAGAAGCAATATATATCGATTCTATAAGCCGGTCTTATTTTAAGCACTTGTGATTTTGATTATCTTTCGTGATTAGGTCCAAAACTTCAAAGGATATATCTTTCGACTTCACACAGTTTGGTGTCACCGAGGGACAGACGTAAGCAGCTGGGGTTTTTTTAACCACTCGATTCGAATCCTCGCCATAAACAGACGAACGACAATATGCTAATTCTTCGTAGTTTGGAAGGAAAAGAAAAATCAATAACTTTAGAGAAAGCGGAATGATTGATAGAACCTAGTTAATACCTCGAGATAGAACTATTCACKTAGGAAAGAATCGTTTTAATGGCAAGCGAGAATAAGACATAATGATTCAGTTAAATGGAAGTAGCGCTTAGTAAGACTCTTAGCCTCCAGCAAGTACGGTGCCCGTTTGGATGATCGATATTAGATCAAAGCTGTTTCCAGCTCTTTCATGTCATATGTTTATTTAGTAACTGATCTTTATTTCACTTGAGGATCTATCGCTCTCCCAATTCAAAGAATATCGCAAACTACATCATTATTACGACTGAACAAACCAGCTGATATGATTAATACACTGATAGTCGCATTGCGAATATCAACCAACATGACTGTCAATATAAATAATGCCCAAAATAACAAATAAAGGAACAATTATTTTATCAGAAATGAAAAAGATTATGAAGGTTTTCTTCAGGCTTTCTTGTTAAGGTGGTAATTTTTTAAGCAGTAGAACAACATGGTCAAAAAGGTGCGTATGACGAAATTCAGCCCTTTTTAGCCAGTGACCATAAACTCTTCATTCACAACAGGAAAATCAAAAAATATTACCAAACCCAAACCACAGTGAGAAAAAACTTGACATAAAAATGCAAATTTTACCACAAACGACAAGTTGGCAATAATAAATATTCCTGCCTGTGTTAGGGATGATAATAGAATAAAAATACACTGAAATATCGTACCTTTCCTGCCGTGTTTAGCTCCATGTTCTAAGGCCTTCTTTCCTAATGTCGATGGACCTGCTAATGTTTGCCCGTTGTCCTTGGGTCCCCAAGAAGCACTAAAGATATCGATGTAGTCAGGCTGCAGACCGAACGCTGATGCTTCAGTTACACCAGTCACGCTACCATCAAGCATTCGTATTCCTCCTAGATTCACATCAGGTGCCACACCGACCCCACAAACAGAATTATTCGCCTGGGCTCCTATCTCTCCTGAACATTTTGTCCCATGGTATTGATCAGCTTCGTCTCTCGGCTTTGGGTCTCCGTCATTATCATTCAGATCTCTACTTGCTTTTGGATCGTAGTTGTGTTTCAAGTCAGGATGGGTATGATCAAGACCATCATCCATAACAGTCACTTTAACTCCTTTACCTGTGTAACCCATCTTCCAGGCTTCAAGAATCCCCATATCACTTCCCATCGGCTCATTATCCTGTCCAAAGCTAGCTATATACCACTGCTTGCAAAACATAGGATCATTGCAATATTTCAAATCCTTAATTCCGTCTTCATTAATGTGTCCGGGTAAAGGGTCACACTGCTGAAAAACTCCTCTTTTCTCTAGAGTCAGACTTCGTTGCTGTTCGTGCCATTTTACGTTAGGATGTTCTCTGAGACTAGGATACGGAATATCGCCTCGTTTGTTATCGCCTTCAGACTTCTCCTCTCTAACAAGCAGAAAGTGGTTGGGCAAACTCCCGATTCGACCGCCATAGTTGTACCCGTGTTTCTTTGCTACTTCTTGAGCCAATAGTTCATCATCCTGGTCCAATTCAACTGCCCAAAAATTAGTGAGCTCCTGGTTATCGTCTTCTTCTAATGAGTGCACTTTAGATACCAAAATAAACGCCAAAAGAAACCAAAAATGAAAGAGCTTCATCATACTCTTTCAAATGTTTTCTGAAATCAAAAATGAAACCTTACTTTTGCATCGATCACAATTTTTTCCGGTATAGATTGGAGTAATATATTAAAGCTTCCTTCCCGCGAACTTCCAATATCTCAGTGTAGTACGTGTAGTCAGGATGGACACGCACATATGCCCGTTTATAATAAATTGCAAATGTGTTTATTTTCGATGGCGCACTTTTGAATAGGGTCATTTAGTATTGATGTAGATTAATGCGTAGGACAGAAATTGAATAATTTGCATCTGTTAACTTTAAGGAGGTGGTCTTCCGTTTGCTACCAGCATCTGCACACTTTCTCGATTCCTGGCTTAGATAAAATCCTTGATTTTCGACTTTACTTTGTAAATAGGATTGTTATTAAAGCTCTTAGTACGAAACATTTTAAGTGTGATTCTTCGATAATTTTTGGTGGGATTTGGTTGAATGGTCACGAAATATTTTTATGCATCTTTGGTTGTTAAGGTGAGAGCCATTGTCGCTAGTATTAGCTCGAAATGACAAACGATTGATATTCCATTCGCTCTAGCATATTTATCATCTTTTCCTCGCTTACTGTGTTCAATATCACTTCTAGATCTTGAAAAGTCGAAAAAAGTAAAACGATAAGTCATACATAATAAATAAATTAAAAATAATCAATGCCTATTTTTCATCACAAATGGTTAATATTATTGCAGAGTACTGTTAACCTCAAACTTTAAGAAAATAGCATTTACTTTTGAATCAAGTCTTCGAGTCTTCTATGACAATACCGTCAAAGAACAAGCAATTGCTGTATATTTTTTACTAAGCACTAGTGAATATTACTAATAAAATACAGCTGAATACATAGCTTACAAATGAAAAAAGCAAATATCTAGATCAAATATGTATTCACTTTTTTCGATACTTATTTTCTTTCGTTTTTCATTATTTTATTGATGCTTATTATGTGGCTCGTATATCTTCTGAAATTCTGTTTCTAACCGTCATAAAGAAAATTAGAATAAACGTTCAATTGCTAATCATTAATTTTTAAAACGGTCTAACTAAGTCTGAATTTTGTTTTCCAAAATATTTTAAAATGGGTATTGTTCTGACTCTTGACAGAAACGATAATGCAATGAGAAAAGATGAAAAATAATGGCCGAGAAATCAAAAAAAAATATTTTGTTTTTATTTATCTATTTTTACAATTATTGGAGAAAGAATCGACCTAACTGATAAATGAAACCCTACAGCATTGAATGTAATACTAGGATCGGAGACCCTTTTGTTAATAAGAATATCCTTCGAGGAAAGGGGATAAAAGACCTTGATCCATAGAGAGGGGTCAGGGCAGAAAAACGGTTTTTGGCCTTTCGCCATAAGCACAGCTTTACATATTTCAGCTCAATATTTTGAAAACACGTTCTTTTGGGGCCAAATAGCAAGATATCAAATGCGACCAAAATTTATTGAATGCATATTTGAGATACAAAGCCGTGTACTTTGGGAGAGGTGATATTTTGATCAGCAGGGGAAAAACCTGACAATTTCTCGAATACTACTGAAGTAGATTTACTCTAATAATTTGACAAACTTTCTTCACAAGTTTCGTGCAGCAGTGACACAAATGAAACGCTTAAAAATTTGGAATATCGAACCCAGTTAAATAAAAAAATCGTGAAAGTAGGGGGCTTGTCGTTTTTCTGTCCAGTAAAGAGATTATCTTAATTTTATGTAAACAATTAAGATACAATATAAGTCGTTTTCAAATTCTTTACTCAGAAGTCTTTCTATACTGTTAAGAAAAGAATTTTAATTGTTTTTCGTTTTGTATTTGCTTTGTCATTTCTAGTGGAAAACCAAATATTTCGTGCTAGCTAGCTCTAAGAAAGTTGTACTTAAACCTAGATATATATATACATATATATGTATATATTTATTGGTATGGTTACTATTGGTTACTTGACGTCATCGATCTCACACTACTTGACACTGTAGCCCACGAAATGTTAATGAAGCATGCGCAGAAGGGCCGACTACCCATCCACCCACTCTTGATTAATGCACTCACGGACAAGTTTTGAATCAAAATGGTTCTATAACAGTCGATTGAACTTTCCCACGAAAACAACAGTTTCGTTTTTAATTGATCCACATCAGCTAGGGGAAAGCACTTCATAGGTTATTATAGTTAATTGCTTGGGAAACCACTCAATATATACATATATATATATTGGAATTTTATCCGGTTTATCGTTTTTTAAACCAATCATAAAACTTGTTGCAAACGGTGAATAACGCCCTAAACAGCATGAAAGACGAACATTCCCAATGGTGCTTGAGGGAAGAAACAGAAATCCTTCACCGCGTACTACCATACTACACACAGGAGCAGGCGTGTTGTAAATCCGCTCCGGCAGACGCTCCGGCACCAAACGATTTTGGAAAGTATGTTTCTAATACATGAATGAGTCAAGATGGAACTTCCTCTTCTCAAACAGATTTAGATACCCACATAGATAATGTTTCGCCACAAATTGTTTTTGTAACCAAAAAAAAAAAAAAAAAAAAACATAAAATAGAAAGCATTAGGAAGCAGGTTATTAAGTTGAATATTCGCAATTTTTCTAACCCTTCGTCTCTTCTACCTCCGTCGGCAATGCACCCGGCCTCGCTTTATCGAAAGCACTTTATTGGTTTCTATTATTTGACAAAAAAATATCTTGCTGGACATCGGCGAAAGAGAATCGTACTTAGAAAACAAGATAAGCACGATATTAAGTGTCTTAGTGAGCCGGAGGTAAAACCTCAATTTATATATCAGGAATCCTACCGCTTGTACTTTACACATATATTAAAATTTAACTGCTCGGTATAGTAGAGTGTTTAATAACGTCCATTTTACAGCCAATTTTAGACTTCTCCGGCCAAAAATAGACGGCTTTCCCTTAACTTATTTGGCTGTAATCTTGAGTTTTGTACGTCGGTACCACACAGTTTCGAAAAGCAACCTTCTTGGCTTTGTTTGGGATTAAGGTTGCGAACTAACAGAGGCAAGAACCCCTATTCTAAATAACCCCTAGTCATGAATAAATTAAAGTTCATGCAGTTGCGCCTTAAGGCGAAATAAGTTAGCAAACGAAAGAAAAGAAGAAGAAAAACAAACGAAACAAACAAAAACAAATAAAGCGAAAGGGAAAAATAAAAGAAATAAAGAATGAATAACAAAGAGAAGGCAAGTTTTGTCCAGTTTCTAGAGAAGTAAATTGGACCAGGAGCTAGAGCCCTTAAAAGTGCTAGGCACTTATACCTGGCCTACTATGTTTCAAGGGGGGAAAAACTATTAATTTCCGACAAAAACCTCTACGTACTCGTTATCCAGAAAATGTTTACACTCAGCTATCAGGGTAAATCAGCAAAAAGCATTTTGAAATTATCCCTCGAGGCTCTGACAACTTCCGCCATTTTACTTTGATAGATATTTTATAACTTGAGATTGTTTTCGATGCAGCATGATTATTAAGTTCTGATAATTATGGAGGGTGTTCATTAAAAAAAAGTAAAATTAAAAATCTCATATGGAACTTTATAGACTCAACTCAGAATCAGACTACTTAATTTAATGGCTCAAGTTTATCAGACATTTAAAGTGTTCGCTCCGGATTTTGGCGTGAAAAAAAAAAAAAAAAAAACCAGATCAAGCTGGAAAACCTTGGGTACAAATGGTGTGGAAATAAGCTTTAATCAAGTATTTTTAGATGAGAAGAGATAACTAAAAACTAGTGTGAGCTGCGTCGGTGTTTCTAATGAAGCAGTAATGATAAAAGGGTAAATTATACACCTTGAAAAAATGAAAAAAACGTACTGACGTTTCGGACGCTAGTCCTTCGTCTGAGTAAAAGAGAAAGA